GTTGTCAAACTACAAATTTTCTTAACATCAATCCCTCACCAAAAAAAAAAAAAAAAAAAAAAACCATCAATCCCTAGCCTACCATTAATTCCTTATCTCCTTGATACAACTTGACTAAGGCGATATTTCTCAAGTAAACTGTATAAACATTTTGATGTGAGGGTTTTGTGATTGTAGATCAGGTCAATTCTAGTTGAAGTGCTTCCAATGTAAAAGCCAGCCATTTGGTTTGGAAGGAATGAAGATGGAATCGACTCTAATCTGAAGCCTTTGAAATGTAAACATGTTCTTCTGACTAAATGTGAGTGAGTAGGGCTCAGGCAATTCACTGAGTGAATTGCTGAGAGCAGTTAAGATAGCAAGTTTATTTTTACACGTTATAGCTGGAATCTCTGAATTCTTTGTGTTACAGACAGACAAAACTTTTACAGACAACAATCTACTTTTCTATGTAGTTACAGACTTGAAAAGAAAACTAGTAGATAGGCTGTGAAAAACTCAAGTGAGAATTTCATTTGAGAATAAGGATGAAGAACAAAGACTTGATATATATACCTGTCTTTGCTATGAAGTTATTTATTGTTTTAAACTTCATTTAAATTATCAGTTTTATTTCCTCACCTCTGCTAACTAAGCCATCTTCTCTGGGGCCAGCTGTGTAAACATTTTTAACAAGCACTAAGCAATTCTTAGACTCTTCTTTGTTTTTCGAATAGTAAAACCAAAAGGGGGGGGGGACAGACTCAATGCTTTCTTTAGAAAATGATACAAGAAAATCCTAGTTTAATTTAAATGGAGTTTTGATTTAGGTCTAAAGTCACTCAATTCAGATATACTAGCACCTCAGTTTTTTAAAGATTTATACCATATAGGAGCTCTGGTAGTATAGTGGCTAAGGCACTTGACTGCTAACCAGAAGGCTGATGGTTCAAACCCACCAGCCACTCCTCGGAAGGAAGGTTGGGCAATCCTACTTCCGTAGTGATACTGCCTCGGAAACCCAAGGAGGGGTCGCTATGAGTCAGGGCTGACTCGATGGCACATAACAACAACAACAACAACAACCATATCACCAAAAACTCTTAGCAGCAGGCAAGCTAACAGACAAATAGGTTGAGTAGTAAATTACTGTAAATTACTGCAAATCACTCTGGCTACAGCACTGAAAATGGCAAGACTAGTGAGGCCTTTTTCTTACTGTGTCCTGACCCAGAACAGTTGTGAGAAATGTCAGTGTGACAATGACAAACCACAGTGCCCTAGGTATAATTGAGTCATGATTAAGAAAATGGTCTCTGGAGTCATATTCTCCCACCCCTGGCATTTAGTAAGTGTGTAAAATTGGGCATGTTTTTTAACCTTTCTAACTAGGTCCAGCTTTCTTATCTGGAAACTGAGGATAATTAGTCTTACATATAAATTAAGATTGTAAAGATCCCTCAAATCCACGTCTCATCACCACCCTGATCATCTCTCACCTCAGTACTCTTGCCACTCTTGGTACTGCAGCCAGAGTGAGCCTCTTAAATTTAAAATCTGATCATGTCATTGCCTTTGTTAAGCCTGAGGGTTTCCCAGGGTTTTCAGAGTAATAAAATAAGCTGCAGGCTTTTCAAGCTCACATCATTGCTCAAGCCAAAGTGGAACAGGTCTTTGCTCCCACCTCAGGGCTCCCACCATGCAGTTCCCTCTTTGTGTCTTTCCTATCTCAGCCCTGTCTCCTCTGGCCATGCCAGGTGCCCCTAACGTATGCTGTTGTACTCCAACAAACTTGTCATGGGTATAATGAAATCTTTATATGATTATTTGATTCACATGAGAAACAGAGGTAACATAGTAGGTACTCAGTAAATGTGTGTGGGCTAAATGAACAATCATGTATTGAGTGCTTTCCCGTGCCAGCAGCTTGGCATGCGTTGTTGCTGTTGTTGTTGTTAGGTGCCATCGAGTTGGCTCCAATTCATAGAGACCCCATGTGCACCAGAACGAAACACTGCCCAGTCCTGTGCCATCTTCATGGTCCTTGCTATGCCTCAGCCCAGTGTTGCAGATACTATGTCAATCCATCTAGTTGAAGGACTTCCCCTTCTTCTCTGACCCTCTACTTTACCAAGCATCATATCCTCCACCATGTTGTCCCTTCTGACAATATGGCCAAAGTAGATGAGACAAAATTTGGCCATTCTTGCTTCTAAGGAGCATTCATTCCAGCTGCACTTCGTTCAGGACAGATTTGTTCATTCTTCTAGAAGTCCATATTATTTTTTTCAGTATTCTTCAACCACACCATAATTCAAAGATACCAACTTTTCTTCAGTCTTCCTGATTCAGCTCTCACATGCATCTGAGGCTATTGAAAATGCCATGGCTTGGGTTAGGCGCACCTTAGTCTTCAAAGAGACATCTTTGCTCTTCAGCACTTCAAAGAGGATTTGGCCAGTAAAGTATGACATTTGATTTCCTGAATGCTGCTTCCATGGGTGTCGACTATGGATCCAAGTAAAATGAAATCTTTGACAACCTCAATCTTTTCTCCATTTGTTATGATGTTGCTTTTTGGTCCAGTTGTGAGGATTTTTATTTTCTTTATGTTGAAGTATAATCCATACTAAAGGCTGTAATCTTTTATCTTCATCATACATTGCTTCTTTTAATCCTTGTAAGCAAACATAGGAGCTGGGAACAAATGGGAAATTGGAGAGACAGTTGAAGTGAGTTGCCAAAGCCTGCACATTCGGGATTTAAACCCTTTCTTGGCATGCTTAAGGAGCTCTGGTGGTGAAGTGGTTAACACATTCAGCTGCTAACCAAAAAGGTTGACGGTGGAACCCACCAGCTGCTCCACAGAGAATGATGACATAGTCTGCTTCTGTAAGGATTTATAGCCTTAGAAACCCTGTGGAGCAGTTCTCCTTGCTCTTTAGGGTTGCTTTGAGTCAGAATTGACTCAATGGCAGTGGGTGGGTGGGTGTGGGTTGTGTGCTTAACATAGATATAATTATTCCATAGCACATAGCAATAGCTGGGTTTGACTGAAAGCAATCTTGGCCTATCACATATGTTGGGCCTTGATGAAGTGAAATTTTTGAAATGAGAATTAAGAACCATTTCCCAAAGCAGAGAGCACTTTTCTTCTAAAAAGCACAAATACTTTGAAGAAAATCAAGCCAAACCCACTGCCATCGAGTCATTCCAACTCACAGTGACCCTACAGGACAGAGTAGAACTGTCCCTTAGGATTTCCAAGGCCATAAATCTTTAGGGAAGCAGACTGCCACATCTTTCTCTCATGAAGCAGCTGGTGGGTTTGAACTGCCAGCCTTTTGGTTAGCAGTCAAATGTCTTAACCACTGTACCACTAGCACTCTTCTGCCTAATCAGCACATGAAAATTTGCACAGAGGCAAGTTGGTGGCAGGTTATGGGAAAACTGTTTCAGGAAAGTAGAGAGAAGCTGAGGACTAGAAACATCTTTAAGGTGTTGAATCAGTCAATCTAAGGGGAGGAGCCAGTGTTGAGAGTTTGGAGAAAGTGGGAAAGGAGGGATCAAGGTTTTAGAAAATGGAAGGCACAGGTAGAGAAGAGGGTAGGGTGAAGGATATGTCTTTTCCAGGGATAGAGGGGAAGGATGTGAGAAGGTTAAAGGCACAGGGACATTTGACCATGGACTGCCCATAAATCGAGGGCACATTGTTCACACGAGCTATGTACTAGGGCAGCCAGGCAGTAGAGGCTTCCAACGCCAGGGGGTATGTTTGCCAGGCCCACTCTGGGTTTGACACCTCTGTTCAACATCAGAAGTCTCTCCAGCAGGCTCAGTGGAAAAGTCAGGGGGCAGGGGCTCCCAGGTCAGGCACCAGCAGGACAAGAGGTTCAAGGAACCCCAAAAGCAAAGTAGAAGGTAAAGCCGACAGGGAGGTGAGAAGCTAGGAAGCCAGGGTGGAAAGTACAGGTGAAGATGGTGTTTCCAGAGGGTTCAAGAGGCCAAATCTGGGAGTTTCCAGCAGAGTGACTAGAAAGTATACCTTCATGGAGGGCCCAGCCCTTCTAGATGTCCTTGCCAAAGGGGCTAGAGGTGATGAGAAAGAGGCCAGGACACCCCTAGGTTCCTAGGGCCAGGGCTTTGTCCAGCCAGGAATATCAGTTGGAATCAGTCTGCAGTGTGACTAACTGAACCCACAGTTCCCCACTTTGGCAGCTGTGTCTGCACCAAAGCCCTATGGATCATCAGCAACAGAAACCTGCTTAAGTTAACTTAAGGAAAAGAGGACTCAAGGTGAGAAATCAGGAACTCTCCCAGACCCACTGAAAGCTGGCTGACCACAAGGCTCCCAAGGCTTCCAAGGTCCTGGTAGCTGGCAGTCAGCCTCTGCCTGGGTCAGTCTGTCCAGTCTTTTCTCTCTCTCTTCCAGAACCACCTGGGTCCCATCTGCTTTTCCCTGTTCATTTGCCTTATTCTCCCTGCTTTCTCTGCTTCCACATGCCAGGCCACCCCACAGCTCCCCAGTTCCTCCCAGGTCAAGCAGCTCACTCTGACATGTGCACTCAGCCTACAGCCCCAAATACACCCTTTTCAGGGGGAAAATGCATGTAGCCAGCCTGTTAGTCTCCCCTGCACACTGGGCAGTTTGCTGTATGGTGAGAGGTGGAATACAAACCTCCTTGCCTAGGAGGATGAGGTGTTCAGAGCAGGGAGCTTCAGTCTAGTAGGGAACACAGTCAGAACATGGTGCCAAGAAGCCTGAATGAGGATGGGAGCAGAGAGCCTAAGGTCTGAGACAAAGCCAATGCCTGAGAGCTGAGATGCAGAGGCAAAGGAGGCCAGTGCAGACACCTATCCCTGGGGGCTGTGGGGTTAAGGGGTGAACTGAGGCCTGGCATCCAGGTGGGTGAAGGAGGAGGGGTGGGATACAGCCCCCAGATTGCCTGTGGACACCCAGATGTCCCAGGAAGAAGTGATGTGGAAGGCAGTGTGGTGTTTTTCAGGAGACAGACAGGGAGATGAACCGGCTGTACGATTCGATGGAACCAAGAGTGATGGATGATGAACTGCTCAAGCTGGCCGTGGCAGAGCAGGGCCCCCGTGAGGAGGCTGGGCAGCTGGCCAAGCAGGAGGGCATCCTCTTCAAGGATGTCCTGTCTCTACAGCTGGACTTTCAGAGTGCGTACCCCTGGGTGCATGGGGGAATGGAGGGCCCCCCTCTCAGACAAGGCTGCCCTGCCTTCTCTATTCTCAACCTCAAGGTCAGTACCCATGCCAAGCCCCATACGCATAGGTCCACATCAACATATCAGGGCAACATATCAGGGCCTGCTGTGTTTGAAAGCACAAGAACAACATCCCTGCCCGCCCCCGCCCCCCCCCCAAAACGTACTGCCATTGAGTTGACTCATAATGACCCCATAGGGTTTCCAAGCCTGTATATTTTTATGGAAGCAGACTGCCTCATCTTTCTTCTGCTGAGTGACTGGTGGGTTCAAATCAGTGACCTTTTGGTTAGCGGTAGAATGCTTTAACTACTATGCCTCCAGAGGTCTTTCAAGAACAGTGTGGTTGTTTTTGAAACAGGGCTTTACAAAAATGGACATCAAGTGTTGTATCTAAGTTGCATTAGCACTGAATATTCACATCACTCTTGATTCTAAGAACAGAAGGTAAGATAAAACTGCCCCCTCTAAATCTAAATGAACCTCAAAGACCATGCTGTTTCCAGCACACACTCCACATGGGTTCTTGCAGTGTGTGTCCCTGGCAGGGAAAAATCTAGGCAGGTGGCCCCAAGCAGCCAGGACCCAGGAGTGGGAAGCTTAGGGAGGAGGATCTGGCTCTTCAGAGGAGGTGTAACAGGACTCAGGGCCCTGGGGCCAGGAGGTCCTCAGGAGTAGCAGCACCACCCAGTGGGAAGATGTGGCTCAGGACCAGGCAGGTACTATGGCTTCAGTTTCTCCATCTGCAAAATAAGGAAAACTGTAGTTCCTGTCTCCAGACTGGCTGAGAGCACATGGCAAAACCACATGCACACAGGACCTGGCTCGATAAACAGCCATGTGCTGTAACACAGTGAGCTAGCTGAGGGGGTAAGAAGAAACAGAGAAGCAGGCCATCACTGAGTAACCCAGGCTGCTTGTCATTCCTGCTCTGCCCTGGGCTCCACTCTGCCCAGATCACCAAGTCAACAACAAAGCAGGCCTTTGCCCAGCCCTGATCATAAAGCTCACATGCCCCCTAAAATGTGGCCGTGGGGTTCTCAAGGCTTTACAGGAATGGGCTGACCACCCAGAGCCGACAGCTCCAAGGCTCACAGCTGTGAGAGGGGCCTGGTGCTTCCTGCTTTGAAGGGGTAAACAGAGTACAGATGGCTGACACACAGGAGGGGGCCCTAGTGTCTACTCCCTTCATTCTACTGCCCCCCCCCAACTTAAAATTCACTTAATCTTTATCATGTGTCATGTACTGTTCTGTTGTTGTTGTTGTTTGCCGTCAAGTCAGCCTCAACTCATAGCGACCCCTCCTTGGGTTTCCGAGGAAGTATCACTACGGAAGTAGGATTGCCCAACCTTCCTTTCGAGGAGTGGCTGGTGGGTTTAAACCGCCAACCTTCTGGTGAGCAGTCAAGTGCCTTAGGCATTATGCTACCAGAGCTCCTGTACTGTTCTAGGCACTAGACATTCAACTGTGAGCAAAAAAGACAGAAACCCTGACCTCAGGTTGCTGGCATTCAAGTGGAAGACAAAAAATAATATACAAGGAAAACATACTATGTGTTTAAGGTGGTAAGTGCTACAGAGACGTATAAGGCAAGGAAAGAAGAGGAGAGTTGGGGTGGGGTACAGGTTTTTATGGATAGGTCAGAGAAGGTCTCACCAAAATGTGATGATTGAGCAAAGACTTGAAGGAGGGAGAGAGAGGGAGAGTTATATAGTTACCGGGGAAGTGGGCTAGGAAGAGGACAGCAAGTGCAGAGGTTGGGGCTAGTGGCTCCAGGCATTGAGAGAAGAGAGCAGAATGAGCCAAGTGGAACAGAGGAGAAGAGGAGGCCAGGGGCCTGGTGTTGGGCCTTGGGGGCTAGGGCTGGGCTCTTGAATTTTACAGCGAGTGATGTGGAAGCCATGGAAGGGTCTATGTGGAGCAGAGATGGGATAGGACTTAGGTTTTCACAGATTCTCTCTGACTGCTGGAAGATGGGGTGTGGGGCAGGGGCAGGGGCAGGGTCCACACCAGAGGGTCCAAGTGAGTGATGATATCTGGGGCCAAGGTGGCAATAGTGGAGGTGGATTCAGTGAATATTTGGAAACTTAAACTGGTTTCTCTGACAGTCCTGTGATGTTGCTAACTCACTTAGAGTGAGTTGTCAAATATATCCTGTTTTGGTATGTGATTTTGGCTTTTCCTGTGAACTGCTGATGCCTAAGAAAAAGCTAGCATTTATTGTGTGTTGCAGAGCCTGAGGAGAGCAGGACCCCTAGGTAGAACGATATGAATCTAAGATCAGGGCCAGAGCCGACAGCTGGAAAGACAAGTGGTGAGAACCTGAAGCAGCAGCTTCAGGTCCAGGGATGAAATGGTCCGACCCCAGAAACACAAGGTAGAAATGATGGCATGTATCCTTCTGGGAAATTGGGCCAAAAAACAGAGAGTGGGAGTACAGGCATCAGCCCCATCCAGCCCTGGAAACCTGGGGGAGGAATAACTGGACAGTCCAGCAGTGGGTCCTCTGGAGTACAGTGAGTGTTGGGGCACCCACCCTTCCCCAGGACCTTCAGGGCCATATGGCTGGGCCTGGCCCTATGCCTCTCCTGTCCCCAGTGAATATTTACTGAGCACAGAAGGTGTCAGGGGCATTCTCTATGCTTGTGCTATGGCAATAGACAAGCCAGATGGGGCCCTTCTGCAGGGGTGTGTTCTATGAGAGGAGATGGAGAATGAGCAGTCAACAGGTGGTTGTTAGCTGCTGTCTAGTTGGCTTCTGACTTGCGGTGCTCCATCCACAGTGAAATGAAACGTTGTCCAGTCCTGCACCATCCCCTTGATCATTGGCAGATCAGACTGTTGTGATCCACAGGGTTTTCATTGGCTGATTTTCAGTAGATCACCAGGCCTTTTTTCCTAAGCCATCTTAGTCTGAAAGTGCTGCTAAAACATACATGTCTCCACTTACAGGCAGGTGATAGCTGCACGTGAGGTGAATTGGGCAGGAATTGAACTCAGGTTTCCCACATGAAAGGTGAGAATTTTACCACCAATGTCTCCTGGCACATAGTACCAAAAACCAAACCCACTGCCATCAAGTCAGTTCCTACTCATAGCAACCCTATAGGGCAGAGAACTACCCCATAGGGTTTCTAGCTTGTAAATGTTATGAAAGCAGACTTCCTCCTCTTTCTCCCATGGAGCAGCTGGTAGGCTCAAACCCCAACCTTTTGGTTAGCAGTCCAATGCTTTAACCACAGTGCTATCAGAGCTCCACATAGTAGATGCTCAATAAATGCTCAAGTAAGAGTGAATGAACATTGAAACTGAGGCCCAGAATGTGTGATTAAGAGTATTTTTTTAAACCTATTTTATTTCTGTATTATTTCTTCAATGAGCCTATTCTAATTTTATAAGTTTGGAAATTATTACAAAAGAAATATAGAAAAGGGGCCAAATAAACAACAGAGCTATATAAGGCTTCTAGGAAAAATTAAGGAATAGATCTAGGCCTCTAGACTTTTATATATATAGTATATATTTATTCATACTTACATGGTATTCAGAACTCTTTAATTTTGAATTTTATTGTGATAAAATATGTATTGAATAATGCTGCATTGAGCATTGGTGGACAAGTGTCTGTTTGAGTCCATGCTTTCAGGTCTTTGAGGTTTATAACGAGGAGAAGAATTGCTGGGTCATATAATTCCAGGAGCCCTGGTGGCACAGTGGTTAAAATCCTTGACTGCTAGTTGAAAGGTGGGTGGTTCAAACCTAGCAGCTACTCCTTGTGAGAAAGATGTGGCAGTCTGCTTCCTTGAAGATTACAGCTTTGGGGGAAGCAGTTTTGCTCTGTCCTACAGGGTCACTATGAGCTGGAATCAACGACAGTTGGTTTGGTGGTAGTTTCATGTTTAACTTTTTGAGGAACTACCAACCTGCTTTCCACAGTGGCTGCATCATTTCACATCTCTATCATCAGTGACAAGTGAGGGTTCCAATATCTCCTCATCCTCACCAACACTTAGGAGCTCTGGTAGCATAGTGCCTAAGGCACTTGACTGCTAACCAGAAGGCTGGCGGTTCAAACCCACCAGCCACTCCTTAGAAGGAAGGTTGGGAAATCCTACTTCTGTAGTGATACTGCCTCAGAAACCCAAGGAGGGGTCTCTGTGAGTCGGGGCCGACTCCACGGCACATAACAACACTTACTTTCTTTTTTTCTAATAATAGCCATCCAGTGGGGGTGAGGTGGTATCTCATTATGGCTTTGATTTGCATTTGCCTAACGACTAACAAAGTTGAGTACCTTTTTGTGTGCTCATTGGTCATTTGTATATCTTGTCTGAGAAATGTCTATTCAAGTCCTTTGCCTATTATTTTTTGATTGGTTTATTTTTCTTTTTGTTGTTGAGTTGTAAGAGTGCTTTATATATTCTCTATATTAAACTCTTACCAGATACATGGTTTCCAAATCTTTTCTCCTGTTCTGTAAATTGTCTTTTTATTTTCTTGATAATGTCCTTTGATGCTCAGGAGTTGTTTTTTTTTTTTTTAAATGAAGTCCAATTTTTTCTGTAGCTGCTTGTGCTTGTAGTATCTGTCATATCTAAGAATCTATTTCAAATACAATGCCCTAAAGATTTACCTCTGTTTTCTTCTAAGAGTTTTATGGTCTTAGTTCTTATATTGGGAGCTCTGGTAGCATAGTGCCTAAGGCACTTGACTGCTAACCAGAAGGCTGGCAGTTCAAACCCACCAGCCATTCCTTGGAAGGAAGATGGGACAATCTACTTCCGTAGTGATACTGCCTCAGAAACCCAAGGAGGGGTCGCTATGAGTCGGGTCCGACTCGACGGCACATTACAACTACAACAACAAGTTCTTATATTTAGATCACTGATCAATTTTTAATTAATTTTAGTATGTGGTGTGAGGTAGGGGTCCAACTTCATTCTTTTGCATGTGGCAACCTGCTTGTCCCTGCATCATTTGTTGAAGAGAGTGTTCTTTGACTCATTGAATAGAGTTGCCCTGCCTGTTGAAAATCAGTTGGCCATAGATGTATCAGTTTATTTGTGAACTCTCAAATCTTTCCCATTGGTCTGTATGTCTATCCTTATACCAATACCACACTATCTTGATTATTGTATCTTTATAGTATGTTTTGAAATCGGGAAGTGTGAGTCCTCTTACTTTGTTCTTTTTCAAGATTGTTTTGGCTATTAAGGCCCCTTGCAATTCCATATGAATTTAAGGCTCGGCTTTTCTCCTCCTGGAAAAAAAAAAAAAAAAGAGTTTTTGAAATTTTGATAGGGATTATGTTGAATCTGTGTCTCTCACTTTCCTGTTTACATTTATTCCTAGGTCTTTTATTCTTTTTGATGCATTGTAAATGGAATAAGTTCCTTTTCAGATCATCCATTACTGGTATATAGAAACACTACTGATTTTTGTGTGTTAATCTTGGACCCTGCAACTTTGGTAAATTCATTTATTAGCTCTACTAGCTTTCTTGTGGTATCTTTGGAATTTTCTGTATAAAGAGTCATGTCATCTGTGAATAAAGGTAGTTTTGCTTTTCCTTCCTTTCTGATTTGCATACCTTTTGTTACTTTTACTTGACTAATTGGTCTGGCTAGAACTTCCAGGACAAGATTGAATAGCAGTGATTAAAGTGAGGTTCCTTATCTTGTTCCCAGTTTTAGGGGGAAAACTTTCAGTTTTTCCACCATTGAGTATGATGTTCACTGTGGTTTTCTTTGTAAATGCTATTTAGGAGCTCTGGTGGAGTAGTACCTGAGGCACTTGACTGCTAGCCTGAAGGCTGGTGGTTCAACCCCACCAGCCACTCCTCAGAAGGAAGGTTGGGCAATCTACTTCTGTAGTGATACTGCCTCAGAAACCCAAGGAGGGGTTGCTATGAGTTTGATCTGACTTGATGGCAGTGAGTTTCGTATTTATTGTGTTAAAGAATTTCCCTTTTATTCCTAGTTTATTTTCTGTTTTTATCATTAAAAGATGTTGAATTTTGTCAAATGCCTTATCTTCATCTCAGAACTCTTTTGGCTGCAAATGATGAAAAACAAATTCAAACTGGCCTAACTAGGAAAGGGAACGAATTGGCTTATGTAACTGGGACAGATGGTCTTCAGACATGGCTGGATCCAGATGCTTAACCAATATCAGGTCTCTTTCTCTATTTTTTTTTTTCTCTCTCTCTCTGTTGTATGGGAAATATATTCCATCCTTCATAGAAGGACATTTTGTTTTCCTCCTATTTTTCTGCTTCTAATGTCCTGGTAGGTATGTTTGGGTACATACGCAATTGTGCCTTTGCATAGAGATTTCAAGTTGATAAATTGCAGGGTCAAAAAGCACAGACAGTAAACATTGTAGTACATTTTGCCAAACTGCTCTCAAAATGGGAGCTCTGGTGGCATCATGCCTAAGGCATTTGACTACTAACCAGAAGGCTAGTGGTTCAAACCCATCAGCCACTCCTTGGAAGACTGGGCAATCTACTTCTATAGTGATACTGCCTCAGAAACCCAAGGAGGGGTCACTATGAGTTGGATCCGACTTGACGGCAATGAGTAGAGCTCTTAAAATAGGCTGAACTGGTTAATTGGCTGTCCTACCCTCTGGCAGCATAGTGGCTAAGTCACTTGCCTGCTAACCAGACGGCTGATGGTTCAAACCCATCAGCCACTCCTCGGAAGGAAGGTTGGGCAATCCTACTTCCGTAGTGATACTGCCTCAGAAACCCGAGGAGGGGTCGCTATGAGTCAGGGCTGACTTGACGGCACATAACAACAACAACAACAACCAATGGTACACACCCATTATGTCACCCAATAGACCCATTAGGTTTTTCCTGTAGCTCTGGGTGACAGCACCACTATTAGGGGGCACAAAAACAAACAAACAAAGAAAACCCAAACTCACTGCCGTCGAGTTGGATCCGACTCATAGCGACCCCTCCTTGGGTTTCTGAGGCATCATCACTACGAAAGTAGATTGCCCAACCTTCCTTCCAAGGAGTGGCTGGTGGGTTTGAAGCATCAGCCTTCTGGTTAGCAATCAAATGCCTTAGGCACTATGCGACCAGAGCTCCCTTAGGGGCCACAGGTTTCCTCAATACCCAGCACCATGCCAAGGCACCTGCATACTCCAAGGTAGGGGCAGGGGATTATGGGACATTCTATATGGTTAATGTTAACCATCTCAGTCCTCCCATACGCTGGCACAAAACTCCAACCTAAAGCTATTACCAACCAAGTTGTCTCCTCCAATTATCTCAGACATCCTCCGGATAGACAACCTCTGGCAATTTGAGAACTTGAGGAAGCTGCAGCTGGACAATAACGTCATTGAGAGGATTGAGGGCCTGGAAAACCTCATACATTTAGTCTGGCTGGGTAAGGCCCCATCTGTGTGTCAGCCCAAATTTAAGATGATGCCCTGCCAAGGTTATTTCCTCCCCAGGAGACAGGAATTGTGTGTGACACTCTGCTGCTGACCCACCATGAGCCTGGTGCAGCAGAGGTTCCTATCTGCAGGGAACAAGAATACAATAAGTTGTGAAAGACTGGAGTCTGAGCTAGACAAAGCACAGAAGTGTGCTTGAAAAGAATATTCTGCTTCCATCCACCCAACCTCTCTGGGAGAAGGATGGGATCATGGACTCCTTCTGTTTAACCTAAACTCAGATTGACTGTTAACTATGGACCACACCAGTCAAATCAAACCTGAAATAACCATCACAGCTGCTATTGTGAACTGAGACTTACTATATGCTATGTATGGGCCTATATGCTTTCTATGCAAGGCTTCTAAATCCTTATAGCATCCCCATTATAGAGATGAGCACACTGAGGTCATGGCTTGTTAAGTAGGGGCAGGAGGCTTCCAGGCCAGCCCTGTCTGACTCAAGAGTTATGTCCCTCATGGTTAAAGCCAAAGAGAGATTTTAACTGTCACCATCTGCTGGTCCTGTTAGGAGGCATCCTCACATCTGATGAAGGGAAGGCAGGCACCTAACAGAGAGAAGGGGATGGGCCTGAGTTATTTATACACCATCTTAGTATTCTAGGGCTCCTGTAATAAAGTACCACAAAGTGGGTGGCTCTTAAGAACAGAAATTTATTATCTCACAGTTTTGGAGTCTGGGAGTCTTAAGTTCAGGGCCACGTTAGCAGAGCCGTGTTATCTCCAACCATTCTAAAGGAAGATCCTTTCTTGTTTCCCTCAGCTCTGATAGCCCCAGGAGTTCCTTGACTTGCAGATGTATCTTAACATGGCCATTCTTCTTCTGTGTGTCTTTGTGTCTCTTCTCTTTTAGAAGGACACCACTTAGATGGGCTTAGGACTGACTTCCCTCTCCCTCCCTCCACTGCCACTCCAGCATGACCTCATGTTAACTGCTAACATCTTCAAAGACCCTATTTTCAAATGAGATCATGTATAGGTATAGGGGTTAGGGGTTAAGACTTCAACATATCTGAACATTTACCTGAGGTAGATACACTCCTTGGAGAGAACAATCATGGGAAAAAGAAGGGCTGTTTATGTACAGGGAGACAGCTCAGGGAACAGGAGTGCATCAGGGGATGGACACAGGGAAGAGGTAACTATCGGGAGGAAGTGGAAGGGGAGCTGTTGCATTGTGGTAAATTGTGGTCAATGTCACGAGACAAAGTATATGTGAACTGCTGTATGGAAAGTGAATTTGCTCTGTAAATTTTCACCCAAATCGCAATAAAAAAAAAAAAAAAAGACTTCAACATATCTTTTAGGGGAACACAATTCGATTTCTAACATGTACCTTTTCTCATTGAATCCCTACAACAATCCTAAGAGATGCGTCTGTTACAATCCCATTCTATAGACAGGGAACCAGGGCTCAAAGAGGCCAAGTCACTCACCTAAAGCAATGCAGCCAAGGAATAGCAGAACTGGGACTCAAATACATACCTGTCTGACCCCAAAGCCCACATTCTTTCCATCCTATTAGGCTGCTGTTTAGGAGCTCTGGTAACGTAGTGCCTAAGGCATTTGACTGCTAACCAGAAGGCTGGAGGTTCAAACCCACCAGCCACTCCTCAGAAGGAAGGTTGGGCAATCTACTTCCATAGTAATACTGCTTCAGAAACCCAAGGAGGGGTCACTATGAGTCGGATCCAACTCAACGGCAGTGCGTTCGGTTTTTTTTTGGTTTAGGCTGCTGTTTGATGATAGGGATAGTGCAGGGCATCACACCTAACAATTTGCCAAGCACTCTCAGTAACAATCTGTGCTGATGTTGCAGACCTGCAGTAGCCCTGAGCCATATCACAGATGCAGAAACTGAGGCTCAGAGAAGCTGACCAGCCTGACAAGAGTCACCAGGTAGAGGTAGAACACAGCCAGGCACCCTCTTTCCCACCATAGCCCATCTGCATCACCAGAGTCGTCTTTTCTATAAGAGATGAGGATAGTAGGCCTAGGGCTGTCATTGCAGGTGCGAGGTCAGCCCTGACCCTGAACCATGTGCTCCTCAGGAAGGCCTGCCATTCACAGGCCATCTGATCTATGATTCACAGCCAGAGCTAGCAGTACTAGTGGTCTCTTGGATATACAATTAGTGCCGTGTGTCCACTGAGAGCCCACATCAGCCTGCTCCCCCTGGGAGAGACTTGGTTTTCCCCCTAACAAAAGCCTATCTCCCCACCAGCTGGAGTCCCTGCACACAGACAAGTTGGCCCTGCTCCCAGGCCTCTCAGCAGTGGCAATACATGCTCCCAAAGGTGGCTTGATGCCCAATACTCCCTTGTATAGGATAAGGAAGCAGAAAGAGGATGTACCAAGAGTAAGAGATCATGCTGCCCTTCTCAGGGGAGGTTTCAGGAGCAGGACTAGTCACCCAGCAACCCAACTACAGCCAGGAAGAGTTGGTGGCTGGGATCTGGGAGGGTGTTGTGATGGTTCAACACAGCCCACTGCCACAGAGTGCTGAAGCTGCTGGCATTTCTCTCAAAAAGCCAACCTCACACAGCTCTTTGCAACTTTGCATTCAGGAATGTTATGGTGGGAGCTTGAAATTGTCCATGGGGAAATATTTGCATCACAGAGTTGGCAAGTGCTACAAATCAGGCCTTTCCCCCCTAATTATGATATATTTACCAGCACACCAATAGTTCTGGGCAGGGAGAAGGGGAATGACAAGCCACCAAAGAAGAGATCCTAGTGGCCCAGTGGGCATGGAGATGTGCAGTGTTCTGGTTACCTAGTACCGCTCTGACAAGAAATACCATAAATGGAATGGCCTTAACAAACAAGTTTATTCTTACAATTTGGTGGCTTTAAGTCCAAATTCAAAGTGCCAAGCTCTAGGGACTGGGTGAAAGCCCCTCAACCTTGGGGTCCAGTTCTGCCTCCTGTTCCTGGCCCCCTGGAGTGAGAGGTGTTTCTTCACTCAGACAGCTACTGGCTGCTAAGGATGAGAAGCCCCAAGGTTGACAAGTAAAAAAGCACAGGCCATTGACTTGAGTCCATTGTAAATCCCAAGGTTGGCAGAGCATAGCAGGCTGCTGAGCAACGACACGGCTACATGCAAGGTCCAAGCATGCCATAGGCTAGAGACCATTCTCAAAGCTTCTCCTTATATACAGGAAGCAGACCACATCCCAAAAGCAGCTACTCAGCTGCTTGTGGTAGATCCCACCATGGAGTTGATTGCCAGTCTCATCATGGAGAATAACCACCACCAACTGCCCAGCCACTCAACCAGGCCCAGCCAAGTTGACACACAAACATAACTACCACATGCAGTCTGGGCATTTGGTGGACCCCAGTTCAAATCCCAGCTCTGCCAGTGTGGACTGATTCTGTACAAGTCGTTTCACCTCTCTGAACCTGAGCTCCTGTATGTGCTGTGTAACCTCAGGATATTACCACACTCCTTTGAACCTCGGGCTCCTCATCTACATAGTGATGATTACTATGCTGTGAGGATTAAATAGGTAATACATATAAAGGGTCTGGCATAGAAACAACGCAAAACAAATGCAACACACTGCTGTCAAGTCGGATCTGACTCATAGTGACCCCTCCTTGGCTTTCCAAGGTGATATCACTATGGAAGTAGATTGCCCAACCGTCCTTCAGAGGAGTGGCTGGTGGATTTGAACCACCAGCCTTCTAGTTAGCAGTCAAATACCTTAGGCACTACACCACCAGAGCTCCTTAGCATAGAAAAGGGTTGCTAAATTATCATTAGTCTCAGCTGCCATTACAGGAGTGGTATCTCCTAACCACAGCCCATCAGTATCACCTGATTGCAGAGGAGGCTAAAGACAGGTGTGGTTAAGGTGCGTTCCCAGATCACCTTGTAAATGTTGTTGCTTGCAGTTATCAGATTTCCAAGCTCCGAACAAATGCCCTGTTTTGGCCCCTGGGCCACTGGTATTCTAGGACAGAATTACAGCCCCAAACCTCCACCAGCCCTGAGAACCTATGGTGAGAAGAAGTACTTTTGTTCCCAGGGATTATAGACTTGTGCTGGGAGGATTCTGAGGTCTCCATAATTGTTGAGGTTGGGAAGGAGCTTGAGCCAGCTTTGAGGTAGCTAGGAGAGCCTGGCTGGCTATGAGTCATAGGAGAACAAGATGAACTCTGGCACCATTATGGTTAGCTAGGTGCCTTTTGAGCAAGTCACAGAGCTTTTTTGAGCTTCAGCTTCCTGGTTGTTAAAATGGGGAAGGAGATTCCAAACTGCCATTTGAATTGTTGTCAAGAGTGCACACCAAAGTACTCTATAAAATAGTCAATATTGAGCTGGCAAGAGGTGGTGTTAACTAGATGCCCACAGGCTTAAGGGAAGGTGACTCTACAATGGCCTCCCCCTGGGAAATGCACATGAACATTTTCATCCCAGAATGGGGCCAGGGTTCGCAAGCAGAACTGGAGAAAGTAAGGAGAGTGTGGAGCCACAGGAGAGAATCCACGCAAGGCTCCTAGAAACTCACCAGCCACCAGACAGTGAGTCCAGTCCTGGCCCAACAGCTCAGCTGAGAGCTCACTGAGCACAAAGGAGCCTAGTGGCTTTACATCCAGAAAGTTCATCCCTAAACCAGTTGTTCTTACCTCCCAGATCTGTCCTTCAACAACATTGAGACCATTGAGGGGCTGGACACACTGGTGAACCTGGAGGACTTGAGCTTGTTCAACAACCGCATCTCCAAGATTGACTCCCTGGATGCTCTGGTCAAGCTGCAGGTGCTGTCACTGGGCAACAATGAGATCTTCAACATGATGAATGTGAGTGGCCAATAGGGATGGTGGGTGCCAAAGGGATAAGGCAGAGGGTGGGCCAAGGGCCTTAGGACAGCAAGGAGTGCTGGTGGTGGTGTTCATGCTAGGAACCATGCAAGCTTGGGTTCTAGATCTTCTCCTTTTCCTCAAAAAGCTAGAAATCTAGGCGGTTTCAAAAGAAACTTGGTAACATTTAAATACCATGCTTGATGTAGGGCTTCAAACTGGTTTGAACTGGTTAAGTCATGGCCAATGAAGCAAAACTGGGACAGACCAGAATTTGCAAAATGTAGGTGCCTGAAATGATAACCAGAATGGGAAAAATTATGAGTTGAAGTCTTGGAATGGGAGACTTGGAAGAGGAGTCATGAGCCCTTTCAGGAGCCTGATGCAAGAGATTGGATTGTTGCTAGGACTGTGGAGAGCAAAGGAGCTCTGGGGCACAGTGGCTGAAGTATTCAACTGCTAACCAGAATTCAGTGGTTTGAATCCATTAGCCACTAGACAAGGCAATCTGCTTCTGTAAAGATTTACAGCCTTGGAAAATTCTATGAGGCAGTTCTATTCCATCCTGCAGGGTCGCTACGAGTCATAATTGACTCAAGGGCAGTAGGTTGGGGTTTTTTTTTTTTTTTGTAGAGAATGAAATACATTCAAAGCAGTGTGGTCAGCCACCATCTTAAAGCAGGACACTGACACTATTGTTTCCAACTCTTCCGGTCAAAAGATTTGGTTGCTATGCAACGTGCATGCTGCCCTTGTTTTCTAAGAGGGAGATTAAGTTTTTAGCAGGGTGTCAACCCATAATTTTCCGATTCCAGTTATCCTTCCAGGCACTTAACGTTTTTCAGATTGTAGTGCATCCCAGTTTCAGTTTGTCAGCCATGACTGAACTGGAAAGAACCAACTCAAAAGCCCTGGCTTAATGCAGCAAAACACTGAGGGCCAGAGGGTAACAATCACACCACTTTTTCTCCAAGCCTCTCATGCATTTAACAAACAGCCTGTGACATGTGGGGCATGTGTACTGGGCTCAGTGAGTGCAGAGATGAACAAAGTATAGGTCGCAGAGATGATCACATTAATGAGGTCACCACCTAATGAAGACACAGGGTGACAAGCAGCCAGTGTCATGAGGAAGAATAAAGCAAGGCCTGCAGGTGGGGGGAGGATATCTGGGGAGCTAGGTGTGCTTATGTGAGGTGCAGTGGACATTGGTCATCTTGGGGAGAGGTAGGCTCCCTCCTGCATCTTCTACCCACACCCTCACCAGGCTTGCCAATGAGATTTCTGCACCTGAGATTATGAGTCTTGAGCTCTGAGCAACCTAGACAAGGGACAGCTGGGTGGGCTTGCAGCAGGCAGGCTGAGGCTAAGATCCTGGGGGTTAGGGGTGTGATAGCATCTATGGACCCTTTGTCAGAGGTAAGCTTACCATACTGCTTCTGGGCTAGGACCACGCTGTGACCTGCTCTCCAGCTAGCTCCCCAGTTGTAGGCGCTGCCCAATATCCTATCAAGGTTCCTTTTCTGCTTAGGCTAGTCAGATGGCCTGGGTTCCTCCCAGCTGCACAGCCTGACACTTGACCTTTCTGTGACTCAGTTTCCTCATCTGTAAGATAGAGGGCATGGTCACAGTCTGCCTTCCAAAAATGTCCCAGGAGTTCATGAGAGAATGAGGGGATGGCTGGAGTAAATTCTTCACAAACGAAGGATGTAGTAGCTGGAATGGCTCCTGGGGGAGGGTTGGGAGGGGAATGGACTTTGGATTCAGATTCAGTGAAACATTAGATTTTACCAGCCGGCAGGAGGCAAAGCTTCCCAAGAGGAAAGAATAACTCCAGTGAGGCCTGGAGGAGAACGTGGGAATGCCAACCTGGCCTGGGGCCATTGGAACTCCAAGGTCACTGGATGACATCAAGGGGTGTACAGCTAGGGGGGGCCAAGTGTGGGAATTAAGACCTGGTTACAGACCTCCTTGAGTGACATTGGAAGCTGTGGGGAGCCATGGAAGGCTGTTGGGCTGGGTCATGTCAGGGTGGGTCTACAGTTCAGGAAGGAAACCCGGGCATGATGAAGGTGTGTTTGCAGAAACTTTGTGTGCAGGTAACTAAGGGCTGGCTCTGTCAGAAGGATGCAGATCCACAAGTAACAGGCTCAGCCTGGCTGTGAACGCAGAGCTGAGATGAGTGCTGGTGCTGCTGGCCGTTAGAAAGGTAGTCACAGAAAGCTGAAGGGAGCGAGAAGGACCAGGAAGACCTATCCAGGTGTGTTGCTGAGGTTACTGCTGGAGGTGATGGGGGTTCAGAAGTATCTAGAATATCTTCCAGACTGGAACCCCTGAAGGCCTGGACAGGGCATTTACCTATCAGCCCTATTCCTTAGTGGCTGAGGGGCACTCCAGGGGTGTTAACCCCTCCTGCTGGGCTAGGTGGATTTCCATATCTTTTTTTTTTTTAAATTAGGATTTGGGTGAAGATTTACAGAGTAATGGATTTCCATATCTTCAGATCCATCTCTGAGGTGAAAGTGGGACAGCTGGGAGCTGTCAGAAAATTATTCACAGCAACAGCCCAGCCCTCCTGCAAACAACAAGGATGTGTGATAGCACAGTGGTTGGCTTTGCAAGAAAGGGTGGGCTTCAGGCCTAAACATCAGCAAGCTTCAAGGATGTAGGTTCCTGCCTGTCCTCAGCACAGGCAACCCACTACTGCTGATAGCCAGTACCCTTAAGGCCACACCTGGTAAGAGGGAAGATGGGGGAGGGAGAGAGACAGAGAGACATATCCCCTTAACAAGAGCTGAGAGCCCTTCCCTTTGGTTGGGTTGGGCCATCTTAGGGGCCCCACCCATCCTGAGTCCAGCACCACAGCCAGGGGACAGCAGTTATCACAGTTGTTTAAGCTGTCCAGAGGGTCTGCCCCGGATGCTGTGTGGTCTCAGAAGTCTGTGTGACCAGAAGATGGATGATCTAGGCCCACTAGTCCCCTTCAGGATTCAAGTCCTGATTGTTCAATCCTTCTTCTTCTCTGTAGGGTCAGGGCAGCCACATGCTGGCCACCTGGGCTATTGAGTGTGGTATGGGAGGCCAGGAAAACTGAAAGGGAGCTACGAGCTAGATTAAGCCTGTGTTTACACTTCAGTGCTACTACTACCAGCTATCTAATTTTGGGCCAGTTATGGAGTTCTAAGTGCCCAGGTCCCCATCTATATAATGTTGTTGTTGTTATGTGCCATCGAGTTGGACCCAACTCATAGTGACGCTTCCTTGGGTTTCCAAGGCAGTATCACTATGGAAGTAGATTGCCCCATCTTCCTTTCGAGGAGTGGCTGGTGGGTTTGAACCGTCAGCCTTCTGGTTAGTAGTCAAGTGCCTTAGCCACTATGCTACCAGAGCTCCCATCTATATAATAGGAATAATAATAGTTCCTACCATGTAAGCTTGTTGTAAGGATTAAATCAATTAGAGAGCATTAAGTGCCCAATACAGGGCCTGACACATAGTAAATACACAGGAAGGGATAGACATCAAGAAGTTTCTGATGAAAAGCTATCCCCAGAGACCCCAACATTCTGTGGTTTAAAAGTATTTCTGAGCATTAGGCAACTTTTTGGCCTTAATGAGTCCAACATCCGAGAGCATTGTCAGTGTCTTGACTGCCTTTTGGATGTCATTGTGCTGTCAAGCCTTTGGATATGTGTTTTGGTCCTCTAGTGCTGCTCTAATAGAGAATACCAGAAGTGGATGGCTTTTACAAAGAGGGATTTATTCTCTTACAGTTTAGGAGGCTAGAAGTCCAAGTTCAAAGTGCCAGTTCTAGGGGCTAGGTGAAAGCCCCTTGACCTTGGGCTTCAGCTCTGCCTCTTGCTCCTGGCTCATTGGAGCTGGAGGCTCCTTTTAACTCAGACAGCTGCTGGCTCCTGAGGCTGACAAACCCAAGGTTGACAAGTAAAATGGCACAGTCCTGAAATTATCGAGTAACACCGCAAGCCACTAATTCAAGTCCACTAACAGTCCCAAGATTGGCAAATAACATGGCAGGCCATTGAGATGAAGACTCAGGCAAATGCAGGATCCAGATGTGCCAGAAGCCCAAGATCTTTCTCAATGCTTCTCCTTAAATATTAGAAGCAGATCACATCCCTAAGGCAGCTGTTCAGCTGCTCACTGAAGATTCCACCATGGAATTGATTTCCAGTTTCAACATGGAGAATAACTAGATCCAGCTGCCCAGCCACTCAAAACCAGGCCCAACCAAGTTGACATATAACCTTAACTACTACAAATTGTGTTGACATTAATGACTCTGAGCCCTGTGGCTGAGAAGGCCCAGGAAGAGGAGGCCAAGGGTGTAGAGGAGATGCCAAGTCTTGAGTTTTCTCCTTTCTCATCCCTGCGGGGGCTGGTTTGGAAGAAGCCCCACCATCACCTCTCCTAGTGCGGTACTGGGTATGAGATGGCCCTTTATGAATATGGGAGAAGTACTAGGGCCAGAGCCCATTGTCCTTGAGGTCTGGGTTATTCCTGAGGGACCCTGTGGACCCTAACTCCACTTCACCTAATCCAGAGGCACCTAAAAAAAAAAAAAAACCCACTGCTATCAAGTCGACTCTGACTCATAATGACCTGACCTGCATTGGGTTTCCAAGGCAATAAATCTTTATAGAAGTAGAGTGCCCCATCTTCCTTCCATGGAGTGGCTTGTGGGTTTGAACTACCAGGCTTCTGGTTAACAGTCAAATACCTTAGCACTGCACCAGCAGAGCTCCTTCTAGAGACATCTAGAGAGTCCTAATACCTAAAAGTTTCCTCCTAACCCTAGGCATCTTTGACTGAGTCTTTATCTGCATTTTTTATTTGATGTCTAACTATACACTTTCTTGTTATTTATTTAATTGCTAGGGTTATTTTGGTATCTGCTTATGGCACTAACAAACATTAACTCAGAACTTGGGGTACACAGTCCCCTGCATCCCTTTCAGGGGCCACAGCTGTTGTTAAGTCAC